TATCTTTTGATAGCCGGGCACCATCAGCTTTCTTCACCACATTTGCTTATTCACCCGCTTTGTCTTCAGCAGTTGTGTCGGGAAGGTGAGCATCATAGAATGCCAATTTACTAGAAGAAAGTATTCTCGTGTTGAGGGAGTACTTGAGTGGAACTGGCCTCTGATCTTCCTGCTTCCCACATCACCTCTCTGTGTCCTCGGCGTGCAGCTGCCTGAGTCTGCAGAGGGCCCTAGCTAGCATCGGACTTCTGGACTCGAGTTGAACTGGGCTGGGTGCCTTCTTGACCTAAAAGTACAGCTTGGCATAAAGTGCTTTCTTATCCATATACGAAGGTCCCTGGTGTTGTTCTCTAGACAGCCCTGCCTAACACAGGTGAATGCGAGACAGATTCAACTAGACGGCAGGGGAAGTTTCTTTTTTGTTCTTCTCAAGGCTTCTGGGCGACACAGCCGTTTGTAAGCAACTACTACCTGAAGGGCTGATGGTTTGAGTCACACGCAGACAGTGATGCTGTGGAGGTGGGCAGGGCTGGAAGACTGACCTCGGTCAAGAGGACCCCTGTGGAGCAGTTGCACTCTGACCATGGTTGCTGTGAGCTAGGGGGCAACTGGCGAGCAGTGGGCTGTTATTTAAATAATGTGGAAACGGGATCCCTGGGGAAATTGCTCCCTCTTCTGAACTGTTAGAGAGATCTTCCATGAACGAACCCTTGGGAAAGGACAGGGATGGCAGGGAGGGACTTCCCAGGGCGGCTAGGCACGGGGCTGGCTTGCAGTGTGGCTCTGTTTGGGGAAGAGTAGTCAAGGGAGTGGGGGTGGGGTCCAGTGACTGCTTTCCTGGATCCTCTGAGGAACAAAGAGTTCTCCTTCTGTTTCTCAGGGCCGGTGAAAGGAGGGGCAGTGGGCAGTTCCGTCCCTGGAGAGACTGGCCATCAGAGGCTATGTCCGAGTTAAACTGTGCTTCTTCAGGTTTCCAACCATTGATGGTTTGGAAGTAGGTGATCAGGCCTTCCATTGGCAGCTCCTCTGGATGGACTCGAACTGTCCACCTGAGGGTCAGCAACTACGTGTCAACTGCCCCACAGCAGGAGCTCAGAGGAGGTGGGGTTGGAGTTGGATGCTGGTGGGAGAGGGGAAAGGCATCCCGTGCCATCTTGCCAAGGACCTCCCTCTCCACCTCTGCTCCCATTGCCGACAGAAGAGTAGCATGTGGACAGGTGACAGCCTTGCGTCCATCTTCTGGGCCAACTTCAGAGTCTCTGCTCCTTGATGGCTCTGCCTCCCCCTCTCCTCCTTAACAAGAAGTGTCCGATAGAGCCAATCTCTTTGTTCCCAGACCCTTTCTGAATTCTCCCTGGAGGCCAGGGCTGTGTCTTAGCTATCCCAGTTCCACCATCTGCCAGCTCCAGAGCTCCTAGGAAGCTCAGAGGATGTTTGATGAAAGTATCAAGAAATAAACAAGCCAATGAACGATCGAAAGAATGGAAGGCATGTTAAGTGTTTGTGAGGCCGTGATCTAGAGATGCGGGAACGATGAGGCTTTCTACTTCATAAAGAGTTACGGTCTCTAAAGGCTTGTTTCCAAACAAGCAGCCATTTAAGTGATATGTCAACTAAGTCCACATGGAAGATGCACACCAACATCTGTGAGCAAAGGATTGTAAATCATAGACTAATCTGAAGTCGAAGGAGGGGATAGTATCAGAGCCTAAATCGTGCGATTCTGGTTTGCATAAGGATATGGATGGCAGTGGAAGCCCCAGGCACACAGGAACTAAGCTGCCTGTGCTAAGAAATGTTTAAGGAAAATGTCTGAGCTCATATTAGTTGTTAAATAAAAAACAAAACCCACTGCTTTCAAGTCTGACCCAGAGCAGAGAATAGAATGGCCCCATGGGTTTCCTAGGCTGTAGATCTTTGTGGAAGCAGCCTGCTTCATCTTCTCCTCAGAATGGCTGGTGGGTTCAACTTATCAGAGTTGCCATTAAGCCAAACACTTGTCCATTATACATAATACGTTCTACACCATGCTTAACACTCCTGGGACACTTCCTTGTTGTGGTAGTCACCTAATCTGGTGTCAATTTAAGGATTACGAGTGTAGGGGTGTAGTCTAGCCTGTTAATCTGGAGGTAGCCAGTGAGACCTCTGTGTGGGCATGGCCTTCTCCTGAGAATTCTGGGAAATCCAGTAGTCCTTCTTGGAGACAGGAGACACTATCTCTCTCAGTTCACTCCCTTGGAGACTCTCTACCGACACGGCTACTCCCTGGGAGACATTGCAGCTGACAAGACACATGGAACTATGCTAGTGCCCTAAAAGGATAAGCAACATGGACCTACCCTGTTGCAACCAGACCTCTGAAGCTGGAGAAACCACCGAGAGACCTCTGCCAGCGCTGAGATTCTTACAACACCACTGGATCCAAAGACTTTCTACTCGCTGGCCTGTGATCGTCCTGTATTTGGCATCATTGCATGTGTTTCGTGAGTCCGAAGAGGACTTTATAGATTGGTATCGGACATATGGGCTAATATCAGACTTATGACCTTGGACTGGACTGGGTTGGGATGTTTTCTTAATGTACAATTATGCTTTATCTAGAACTCTCTCTTATATACATAAGTGTGCTTATGAATTTCTCTAGTCTACCCAGACTAACACACTTGTTCAATAGTTTATAAGTAGAACTAAAATGGTTATAAGACGTGAATAAAGGTAGTTGTGGTACAGGCTGTGAGTTGTCCATCTCAGTGCCTGCTCCTGTGTTTTCAAAGTAAGAACGAGTTGCCATCAAATGGATTCCGGCTCATGGAGAGCTGATGTAGGTCAGAGTAGAACTGTGCCCCAGAGAGGCCCCAGTGGCTGCTTTTTCACAAGTAGGTCATCACCAAGGCTTTCGTGTGAGTGCCTTGGGTGGACTTGAACACTCAACCTTTCAGTTAGCAGTTGAGTGCCTTCCCTACTGGCACCACTCAGCTGGGAGCATGGTTATCTGAGATAAAGACTGCATTTCCCAGCCTTCCTTTCAGCTTGGTATAATCAAGTGACAAGGCTCTGGCCAATAAGGTGTGAGTGAAATAGTCACAGGACACTTGTGGGAGTCTTCCCCCAGAGACTGACAAAAGTGAATCCTTTGTCCCTTCTTTGTCTTCACTGCCTTCTGTTGTGGGGACACGGTGTAATGGCTGGACCATGACTTGGAACATGAGAATAAGGGACAAGTCCCAGCGATGGCCAGGAGCTGGAAGGAAGTCAAGTTCCTGGGGATTTCAGGGTGCAGACCCACTGCCCCAGGCCTGTGGACATTTTTACTTGAGCGAGAAATCAGTTTTTGTTTCAAGCCATGGTCGCTTTGGTCCTGGGTCCACCGTCGTCCAGGTGCTTTATTGAATCAATAAAGACACCCGACGTTTCCGATGGACACACTTGAACTTAAAAACCCAAATGCATGCTGACCTTCAACGTGACCACCCTTCCTCCATCGTCATGCTGTTGCCATTAGTTGTTGTTGAGTCACCACTGACTC